TATAATATTTGTATAATGCAGTAGGTTGGATTCAGCTTTTTGGATACTTTGGGAATCACTCTTTTTTATTTTCTGAAGATGTAGCAGAGAGTTTTATATTTGTTGTCTTTAGCAGTCTCTTTTTATTTTTCTGCTGTATAGGCTGGTCTCATCATTTTTCAAAAATTAGAAAGTTTGGGGAATGCTGTGCAAACGTTTGCTTTCAATAACGGTAAGTTATTATGTTAAATAAAAGATATGTGAATTATCTTTTGTGAGTTTTATCTTCAAAAAGACAGTATGTACTTATTTGCAAAGTATTTAATATTACTATAGCTTGTTGAGTATCTGAGTAGTGTTGACATTGGTAAGATCCATATGACCTAAGGTTAGAGTTTTAGGTGTATTATCTGTGGCAGAACGCTACACTTATTATCTCCACCTTGTGGCATTGTTTATCAGCTTTCTAGAGCGTGGTGGCTCTGGACTGCTGACCACAAGGGTCACCCTGAGTCTAAACCGATGTTCTGGCACTTAACAACAGCAATAATGTGTTCGTGGGATTGAACCAATACAAAAAGGACATTTTTTTAATGTAGGAGAGAATAAAGATAATTGCAGGAGTAAGTCCTTGGATAGGAGACAGTGATTGGGATCCAATATACAAATATAATGGGTAGGTCTTAGGTAAGTGTAGGGACAGTTTATCCTTTGTAATGAGGGGATACAGAATAGATGAATACGGACTAATAAGTAGATTTTGGGTGACAAGTTGAGATAGCTCTCTTGGTTTTCTTACAATTAATGAAATAAGAGGTGAAGTTATTTCCTGCCCACCCTCAACCCCCACCCCCCAATTTTTTTTTAAAAAAAGGAGGGACAAACAAGTGTTGAAGTGTCCAAGAGAAAGGAGGCTTCAGGACAAAGGAAAAGTTGTGAAATAATAATCTTGAGAGTGAGAAAGTGGAAAATTAACAATAATTACTGAGGATTCATTTGAGACCTGTATCATGATTTTAAAGTGAGATGATTATTTTTTTATTTTCAACTATATTCGGTTGCTTGGGTATAGATACCAACTAGGTAAAAGAGCTGGCTATTAATAAGGATATTGGTTTTGGTAGGTAAGTTCCATGGAGGGAAGGAAGAGCAAAGGATTTGAGAGTCCAAGAGGGGTACAAATAGTTTGTGAAAAAATACCATTATCTTTCAATCAATTTCTTCATGAACTTTTTGAAGCCTCCTTATATATAGAAGGGAATGGTTACTATAGTGTGGGTAAGGAAAGAAAGTAACACATGATGGGAAGTGTGATTGAGAAGGTGAATGGGTAATGAAAAATTGGTACGGTCAGTGGATTTGGAGAATGTTTATAATTGATGTTTGGAGGTGGTTACTTTATTGTTAATGGCAATGTCAAGGAGATAATCATGGGGATGAGTGACTAAGGTGAACTGAGGAAAAGATTTGTTGAGATGGAGAGACCAAGGAACTGAAAGATGTTTTTGGATGGATCATTTGTGTGGATATTGTTAATTACAGGAATGATCACAGGAGTAGTGATGGAGGGAAAGACAGTGAGTGAACCATGTGCTAAAATCTTCAGTGAGTAAGGGTATGTGATTCTGAGATTATGAGATAAATTTAGCAGTGCGGTATAGTCCTTTGCTTCAGAGGAGCCAGGGGTTACTGAGAGATGAGAGAAGTGCTAATGAAATGTAATAAATTTCAAGCAGGGAAGGGGTTTGGAAAAGGAGGGGAGGCCTTGAAGTGTTGATGGAGAATGATGGACTAGATAAAATGGAATTGAGAGTTGAGAAGATAACTGATTAGAGAAGCTTACAATTTATTTTGGTGATGACTGGTATAAGTAAGGAAACTGAGGAAATACTATGAGTAAGATATTTTACCAAACTGTGTTTATTAAGTGGTAGCCCCAGATGCTGTTATTGATTTATGAATATGAAATGGCAAAGATGGTTTCACCTTCTCCTTCTGCTATGTTGATAGCCCAAAGTTGTTATATATATGAATGAAGATCATTTGCAATATATCCTAAAATTTTAGTCAAGTTTTGGAAGAGAAGTTAAGTGATTTTGTCATAGGTTAAGGAAAATTTTTCTGTTGAAATTTATGTAAAGAAAAGTATATGAAAATCTGAGCTATAATGTTGTTTAATGAAATTGCTAAATAAATATCTCAGCTTTTTGGTTTGAAAATTAATATTGATTTTTTTCCTCCCTAGAGGAGAAAACACTACCTAGTGATGTGAAAAAACACTTGATTTCAATCTCTGAAGAGATGATGGATCTGGCTAAGCATCTTCCTGACACATTCAGAAAATTGGAAAATCCCCAGAGGTTAAATATGATCTGTTTATGTCAATTCTATCTGTTTTTATTGCATTTTACTATATATGAAGTATTGATGTTCATTAAGTTACATGCATATAAATTTGCTTGACTATACACCAACATACACACATACACACATAGACTGCTGTATAAATGAGAAGTGAACTAGTACATCAGAGGTTTAAGATATTTTCCTTTGCTTTTTAGGATTTTTTATGACATACATGGTATAAACTGCAGGTATATATTCTTGTCAAAAGAAAATAAAATTTACAAATGCACATCAAAGAAAGTAACATTAAAAACTTATGCTTTCTTTCTGTTCATAGGCATCTTTTATTACATTTACAGTTTGTTCAATTGAAATCTATAAATAAAAACAAGCTTTATACTTAGTAGCTTCATTTTTGTGGTTCTCATCTGAGTAAGAATTCTACTGAATTAATCAGTTGTTAGAACAAAAAGGATTTAAAATTATGAAGAGCATTTTATAGCTAAAGCATTATTATTGCTTGAGATAACTGAGTAAAATGTTCTATATGTATAATAAACTTGGATTATAGGTGCTGCATAACTAACTTTTTTTTGGATATGACTTTTTTCTGACCTTAATTGCTGAATACCTCCCTGCTAAGTCTCTACAGGTGGGAACATTCTTGAACAGTGGTTGTGGTGGTGGTGGTTATGTGCTGTGGAGTTGCCGACTCATAGTGACCCTGTACAGGGTTTCCAAGGCTGCAAACCTTTACGGGAGCAGAAAGCCTCATCTTTCTCCCGCAGAACAGCTGGTAGTTTTGAACTGCTGACCTTGCAGTTCACAGCCTGATTCGTAACCACTATGCTACTAGAGCTCCAAAAATACTTCGTAGAAATATGAAGCAGTTAGTTGAAGTTGAAAGAATTATGCTTCTGACAAAATGTAATATTAGTTAGGTAGGTTTGCATGGGCTAAATGGGACAGAGGTGAATAGTGATATATACTAACCCTTAGAACAATAAGGCTCTGTGATACAGGGATTGAGACATAATCTGAATAGGTAAAAGAGAGGAAATAATGTTAAGGTACTTTATTATCTTGTGGATATTGATTTCCCTTGCCTACTATTGTAAAATAGACATTTAAGTGGGATGGAAAAGAATATCAGGAAATAGGATTACAGAAAGTTTGTAAGCCCGTCTTCAGCATATAACTGACTGGAATACCTAAACGGGGTTCTAGAATTTGCCCAGCGAAATAGGCTTCTTGTCAAGCCTTTGTAGAGTATGGGGTCTTACGTGGAATCCTGAGCCCCATCCAGAACTTTCTGAGTTGGGACATTCCCGTTTGAAAGGATATGTAGACCAACCCCGAGCAGCTAGAGGAACAGAAGATGTTTCTTGAAAGAAAGACCAGCAGGGGGAAAAAAAATTGCAGACTGCTTGTCTATTACAACAACAAACAAGCTATTCTCCTGGGAGCCATCATAGCCCTTCAGGACAAACTCCCTTCCAAGAGCCCTTCCAAGACAAACTGATACTGTTTGATGATTTTGCATTTTGTTGGGTTACCTCTCTTTGGAATATGCACAAATATGGATTCTTCCAGTTGGCTGGCCAGGCAGCTGTCTTCCAGATTTCTTGCCCTAGATAAGTGAGTGCCTCCAATACTGTATCAGTTTGTTGAAAGATATCAATTTGTGTCCTGTCAATTCCTGGAGCCTTGCTTTTTGCCATTGCCTTCAATACACCTTGAACTTCTTTTAGTACCATAGGTTCTTGATCATATTCTACCCCTTGAAATGATTGAACATCATCAATTCTTTTTGCTATAGTGACTCTTTGTATTCCTTCCATGTTCTTTTCTTTTTGTATATTTAAAAAAAATTTTTAAGTTTCTATTGTGAATTGAATGAAGATTAACAGACAAGATCATTGACTTTACATTGAAGAAATTATATGCTTTGGTTCATATTAATTATCACAACAGTTATCCAGCTTCCTGCCTGTGCCACCCCTTTTACATCTTACATTTAATAAATTAACAAAGAAAAAATATTTGATGTACATGTATAAAACCAAAAAGACATATTCCTTTAAATGTCCTAAGGACATGTTCTGCAAGCCAGGCTCCTGCCCTCAGACACATGAACCTAGTGCCCACAGCTGCTATCTCTCTCCATGCTGTCACCTCTGCCATCTCTGCTGTCAGGGTTTTTATAGGTAGGATCATACTCTCTACTCATATTCTGCTTTCTTCATTGTTTTGGGATCATCTGTTCCGGAAATGAAAGTGAATTACTCCCCACTTTTAGTTAAAACATTGTCTACAATTACAGTTGTGACAATCTCAATTAATCCTGCAAATTACTCACAGTTGAATCATAAAATCCTGTCAACATCATTTCCCATCCCCTTTCATCAGATCCATCTGGAAAAGAGGAAAACAATTCAGTAGGTATTCTATCTTACCACCCTCATGCTGAAACTAAACACACTCATGAAAGCTTATAAGCCAGCACTTTGTGCCTTTGTAGCCCCCATTTTCAATAGCCATTGTCTAGATTGCTCATTCCTATCAACCCAGTCGGTGGTTCAAACTCACCAGCCATTCCTTTGAAACCCTATACAGGATTTCTATGAGTCGGAACTGATTCAACTGCAGTTAACAACAACAAATTAGCCTAGTGCACTGGGAAAACAAGCTTGTTTCTTTTTTTTAAAAAAAAAAAAAACTATTAATTTTTTATTGTGATTTATGTGATAGTTTACATGGGAGAACATTAGCTTTACACTCATCCTATAGTAATCATTGCAATGATTACAGTCCCCTCCATTCATCATCAATCAACAGCTATTGCTTCTATTTCTCTCTCATTTTTTGGATGTGCACCAAAACACTCAGGAATATGCAATCATTCAAACACCCAAAGGGCATACCCTGCAAGCCTGCCGCTGGGCTGCCAGCACACAGCCCTTTTCCCTCCATGAGTTAGAGTCCCCAGCTGCTCCATCTCTCCATGTCATCATCTCTGCATCCATCTCTGGTGTTGCTGCTTCTTTGAATATGGTCCCATACTACGTTCCTGCTCTTCTTCCTTTATGGTACCAGGATCCTCCTCTCCTGGACTGCAAGATCAACCACTTCTGTCTATTTGCTACAAAATGTCTACCTTTACAGTTTCAACAGTCGTAATCAGTCATGATAACAGTTGCTCACTATTGTACCATAAGAGTTTTATTCCCATCTCCTTTCACCATCTCTGTCTAGACAGGCTGAAAACCACTTAGTGGAGATTCTACCTTTCCCTGCAGCCTCTGAAGCGAAACTTTCCCTCTTGAAAACTTGTAAGCCAGACACTTCGTCCTTTTATAGCCCCCCCATTTTAGGTAGCCAATGTCTAAGTTGCCTATCCCTATCAACCATGTGTACAGAGGGTATGGGAATGATCTTTGCTTTGAAGATTCCTTCCCTCTTGGTTGGTATTTTAAGCTACTACATCCATAAGTATAGGTCAAATTCATCAAATTGTAGTGCATTATACTTGTTTTCTTTATCTCCCCCCAATTTTTTCCCCCCTTTTCTTTCTTCTGCTAGTTGAGTTCTGATCATCCAGTCATTGAAGCTAGATCAAATGGGTTATCTGCAAGTATGCGTGTTCATGTGCATCTTCTCTCACTTCATATAAGTTGGACACTTCATTATCCGCTCTAGCTGTCTGTGGCAAGGTCCTTATCCATGGGCTCAGGAGTCCCCAGGTCTCACCATACTGCTGGCCAACCAGGTCTCACCATACTTCAGGTTGAGAGGAGTCTATTGAATGTAGTCAGACTCAGCCCACATCTTCATTGCTGCTTTTCCCCTACTTTCTCTCATCATCTCTGCATCCATCTCTGGTGTTGTAGACCAACATGATCTCCAGCAAGATTACATGCCTGCTCCTGTATTTCCTTTGAGTTTCAGTCTTGGAGGCGGATTTGCCATGAGTGGACTTGATTACTTGCCTTGATGACTCACTCACCTGTGGACAACTTGCTTGTTCTTGTAGTAGTCATTCAGACTGCCCTTTTTGTTTTTGGTTTTTCCTGCTGGTCTTTCTTTCAGGAAGTGTCTTCTGTTCTAGCTGCTCAAGGTTGGTCTGCTAGTTTTTTCAAGTGGAAATTTCCCACCTCAGAAGATTCTAGATGCGGATCAGGATTCTACCTAAGTTCTTACACACTGCAAAAGGCTCCACATGAAGCCTCTTTCACTGGGCAAGTTCTAGCACCGCTTTTAGGTATTCCAATCAGTTATAGGCTGAAGACAGACTTACAAGCTTTCTATAATCATGTTTCTGACTATTCCTTTCCTCCTCCTCATGTGTCTGTTTTACAATAGTAGGTAAGGGAAACTAAGATTCATAACACAGTTAAACATCTTATCATTATTTCCCCTCTTTTACCCATTCAGACTATACCTCAATCCTTGTGTCACAGAGCCCTGTTGTTCCAAGGTTGATCATACATCAATCACTATTTATCTCTGTCCCATTTAGCTCCTGCAAACCTCTCTATCTGCCTTGTTCTTCCATTCTCCTCCCACTTCATGTGTATTGGCTACCCACCAACACCAAACAATTTGTCTATCCTCTACCCTGTGCTCTACCTTACCTTCCCTCCTTTTTTTTTTCCTTTTAATGTGGGTATTTTTTCTTAAGCTTTTAAAATAATGGTCTTATGCAGTATTTCTCTTTTTGTGACTGACTAATTTCACTCAGCATAATGTCCTCAAGGAGCTCTGGTAGTGTAGTGGTTATGAATCGGGCTGTGAACCGCAAGGTCAGCAGTTTGAAACTATCAGCTGTTC